TTGCTTATCATTTAGTATGACATTTGGACAAATTTAATAATGTTCACCATGGGATTTTATCACTGCTTCTCTATTACAAAGCTTTTTTAAATTTTGATTCATATGTTCAGTTGGATGTGGAGGGTGCATAGGTTTTCTATTTCTCTTGTTGTTCAAAGGTACCAGTCCTATGACTTTAAATTAAATGCAGCTTGGCCGGGTATAATACTCTTAGCTCATACATTCTGTCCTCTAGAACTTTATAGCCATTGCTTAATTTCCTTTTGGCACTGAGTGGTAGTATGAAGATACCTGAGGCTAGCCTGATTCTATCTTCACCTTGGAGTTACTTGACCTGTAGGCATGAAGTTTTAATCATTGAAGTTCAAAACCATCACCAGGATATGGCTTGGTGTTAAAAACTCTGTGTCATATTTTCCTGAAAAACAGTATATTCTTTCAATATATAAATTCAGTTTTTTATTTTAGCAAAAATTTCTGTATGATATATTTGAATATGTTTTCTATTTCATTCACTAGTTTCTTAGTTTAGGGATGACAGTAGAGGATCATCTTTGTTCTCAATGTCCACTACCATCCCTGAAATTTCTTTAACCTCTTTATCTTTTTCTTCCACATGCACTGTCATTATCTCATTGTAGCAAAAAGCCTTTTTTCTATGTCAGTAAGTCTGTGGCTTCCACCTCCCCCCTCCCTCCGCCTTACCTCTGTGTATTTCCACATGTTTTAGGAAGGAAGGAGGGAGCATAAAAGGACGGTGTATGTGTCTTTAAAGTTCCAACCAGATTTGAGTGTTCTAATTTGTAAAGCTCTTCTGTGTCTCTCATTTCCTATTCACAAAGATATTGTAGGGATACTTTTTCTCTCTTCTTTCTTTCCTTTAGGCTTCCCAGAAGCTATTTCTTCTCTTTCTGGGACCATCTTTCTTCTTAAAATACATTTTTAGAAGTTCCTTTTTGAGCATCAGGAGATAGAAAACTTTCACAATTTATTTTATTTGGAATGGTCTTTCATTTAGCATTGTTGTTTCTTCTCTTACGGTGGTGACTAAGATCACTTTTGTTCTTCTCCCCCTCCCTCTTTCTCACAACGGTATGAACGCCCTTCATTGACTACAACAGGAAGTGGAAAAGGAGGGTATATGACAACTCCCACTTCTGGGGAGGCTTCACAAAGCGTGGCCACCCTTTGAAATCGTTCCCTTACTGGGATAGCTAGGATCCTTCGGTAAAATGTAGAATAGGAGTGGCGATAATGGGAACATCGATCAGGGTCCAGTCAGAAAAATAAAAACCATCCTAGATATTTCAACAGAAAAGATTCAATAGAAGAAGCTGGTTACCCAGGTGACGGAAGAATAGTTGAAGAGCTGTACTTCATATAACAAAAATAAGTGCCAGTTATAATATTACTAAAAAAGTTTATAAAGCCAGCCCAAAATAAAGACAAGTATTAGAATGATGAGGAACAGCAGGGAGCTCTATCAGCCCTAGGACTAGTAAAGAAAAGCTGGGGTTCATAGAGCTCAGGACCTAGGCCTATCTGGCAGAACGTGGAGCCAGGACAGTGACAAGGAATTGGGACAGTGGAGAACTCTGGAGATAGTACAGATCAAAGACGAGGAGGGGACACTCTAAACGTACTTTCTTCTTCCCTTCAGTATTTTACCACCAATTCCCGTCAGGCAGGTCTGTCTAATGCCAGAGGGTTAGGGTGCCTGGAAACTAGAGCCCCTCCTTATAATGAAACAATAGTTTTGCCTAGGTATTAAAGTCTAAGTAAAACAATCAGCCAGAACTTCATCAGTCAATTTTGCCTCAATGAAACTCCTAAAAGAGAGAAAAATATTTAGGCTCATTACAAAGAAATAAATTTCTACACATAAAAAAAAAAAAAGAACTTTGAAGTCATTACCATTTTTTGTCTTTCTTTTATAACTTTTAGACAATTATGTCTCCTGAAGCTAAATTCCCATTTTTAACTTATCTTTGATATTTTTCTTTATCTTTTAAACACTAATTCAGAGGTTTCCTAGACCATATCTTTCAGATCACTACTATAGTTATATCTATTCTAAAATGTACTTTTTCAAAATTGCTTATTTTGTTAAATAGTCATCTTTACAAAGGTATAATATACTCATTTTAGGTATACAGTTAATGAGTTTTGAAAAATGCACCCTACCAAAATGCTTTTTAGATGCACTCACATTGCTGCTTGTATTTGTAGCTTATTCTTTATTATTGGTGAGTTGTATTCCATTGTATGGCTATACCACCATTTGTTGATTCATTCACCTGTTGCTGGATATTTGGATTGTTCAGTTTTGAGACTCTTATAAAGATTTTGTGAATACTTATGCCTTTGTGTGTATAAATGTTTTCATTATCTTGGGTAAATACCTGGAAGTAGAATAGCTAGTCATAAAAGTGAATGATTAACTTTATAACAAACTACCAAAATGTTTTCCAAAGTGGTTGTGCCATTTTATATTCCTACTAGCAATGCGTATCAGTTCCAGTCACTCTATCATCTGCACTAAGACTTGGTATTATCTGTTTTTAATTTTAGTCATTCTTTTGGTATATAGTGTTATCTAGTTACGGTTTTAATTTGCAATTTGCTGATTTATAATGATAATGAGTATCTTTCAAGGTACACAAGACTGATATTGCTACTCAGTTAAATTCCATGACAATGTACTTGAGTATTCACTGCATGCTCAGCCCTATGCTTCAAGAAAATCTCAGTTTAAGCCTTGGTTGTCTTTGAATTGTGGGGATTGTCTTGGCTCCCATTTTTCAGATAACATTTTCCACCGAAAATGACATTCTTAAGTGTGGTAGCAGTACAATTCCTCCCCCTAAGATGTCCATGCCTGAGTCCCCAGAAGCTATGTGTAAGGTTATACAACAAATGAGGGATTAAGGTTGCTCACTAGCGAATACTAAAATGTGGAGAGTATTCTAGATTATGCAGGTGGGCTCAATTTACAAGGATCTTTAAAAGTGAAAGACGGGACAGAAGAGGAAGTCAGAGGGATGCAATATGGGAAGGACTCGGTCCGATGTTGCTGGCTTTGTAGATGGAAGAGTGGGACTGTGAGTCAAGGAAAGTGAGCAGGCTCCAGAAGTGGACTATGGAAAACACAGGGACACAAGCTTTCACCCCAGGGGCTCTAGAAAGGAATACGGCCCTGATGACACCTTGATTTCAACCCAGTGAGGCTCACGTCAGATGTCAGACTCCTATAACTAATTTGTGTTGTTTTCAGCTACCAGGTTTATGGTAATTCGTTACAGTAACATTCAAAAACCAACACTTCAGGGTCATCATTTGCTGTGAGCATTACTATCTACTAACAATCAGATGACAAACCACCTGGGGTTGTGTCTCAACCCTGTATACCCCTTCCCCCTTTCCTTTTAGCCACTTCATTAACTTCACCATTAAGATATTGGCGGAGACTCTCAACTCTGTGAGTCCGGTGTGTTCAGTTTCATGTTGTATTAGCACTGCTTCAGGAGGATAGCAGAATGCCCAGGGTAAGTCTGACCAGGACCCAGGAGTGGTGTCAGTTGCCCAGGCTTGCCCCTGCTTTCAGTAGTGACAGTTTCCTGTTTCCTGCTTGCATTCCAGGAAACAATAGAAACAAGATAGCAGGTGCATTGAGGTTTGTGACCGCACATTCTACTCATATCTGATTTTTTTTTTTAAATTTAGCTTATGGTAAATTAGTTTAGTTTTGACTAAGTATAAAGCATTCGAAGGAAGATCAATGCAAGCCTTTCATCATGAGAATACAGTGTACGTGGGAGTATGCTCAGTAGCTGTACTAATTTGTTAGGACAGCCATCACAAGTACGACTGGGCGGCTTAAACAATGGGAAGTTATTTTCTCACAGGTTTGGAGGTAAAGTCCAAGATCAAGGTGTCATGAGGGTTGGCTTCTTTTGAGGCCTGTCTCCTTGGCTTGTAGATATTAAGATCTCACTCTTACATCTTCACATGGTCTTCCTTCGGTCTATGTGTTCTCTGTGTCCTGATCATCTCTTCTTACAAGGACACCAGTCACATTGGCTTAGAGTCCATCCTTATGACCTCATTTTACCTTAATTACCTTATCTTTTTAAAGGCACTATCTTCAAATACAGGCATAATCTGTAATACTTTGGTTTAGAATTTCAACATACGAATTTTGGTGGAATACAATTCAGTCCTTATCAGAGAACACAAAAAGCTATTAGATAAGGCATGTAGAAAATGTTCAGGAAAGGGAAAATGGAAGTATTTAACTTCATATTCAATATTTGTGCATAAGAAAAACTAAATGGAATTCAAATAATGATAGTTCTGCATGAAGATCTATCTGTTCAGATTTTCGTAATTAGTTATACAGGGAAATAAGCAAACTGGAATTTATATTAAGCTCTAACAATGATAAAATGAAGTAAGTACTGGTATAAAAATAGTCAGCATCAGACTTTAAAATGCATCAATATTTATACATGTTTGCAGTAACAATCATAGTAATAAAATTGGTAAGCTATTAAAATAACTACCTAAAAAATTATTTCTTGAGGTCAAGGACAATTACAGAAACATACACTAATCAACCTGGCTAAAACTGGAAGGGGTGATGTGAAGCTCAAAAGCACTTCTGGAGAAAAATGTATAAATTCACAGCTCACTGTGATAATAAGAGGATAAGATACCTTGTAGTGACAATCCTTTAAAGATGGATATTTTCATAACTTGAACTAATAGCATGAGGAAGAGGTAGAGACACTTTTTGAAAATTATGGAATGAATCTAGTAGTTTCTTAGTGAAGACCCAGTTGGACATTCCTCCTCGTCTTGCTCTGTTCCCTCTTCCAAAAGACCAACCCAAACACATACAAATTAAGAATCTGTAAGCATCTGTGGTATCCACAGAAAATAAATCAGGAGAGAAAGGCAAGAAATACAATTCAATACTCAATAAATTCTTTTATCCCTTGAAGATACTTTAATTTTACAGTTATTGATTAATTAAAAAACACAGTTGTTTTCGGCATTTCCTAGCTACAGTAGTGCAGAGGAAATTCCATTCTAAACAAAGAAGTAATTAATGAAATAACAATACACCTTAACATTTTACATTGATAGGTTACAGGTTACAAGGTGCTTTCACATACATTATTTCATTTGATTCTTATAATAAGCAGGAAAAACAATCCGTGGGAAAGAAAAATGATTTTTTTTCAAGCTTACAATGAGTATTTTCAGGCCAATGGGCAGTCAATATGAGAACATATCAAAAACATGATAGCAATACCCACAAGCCACAATGTCTTCTTTTTTGGGTAGGTTGACAGTTTGATATCAATTAGATACTGAGCATCAGTGAAGGAGGAGGGAACCTAAACGGACATGAGCTTTTCAGGATATTCAAAGAATTGTACGAACACTGGAAGAGAGAAATGCCCTAAAAGATCATCTTAACAAGATTTACTTCAAAGCACGTGATCCCCTCAAACTGTCGTAAAAAGAATCTTATCACAACCTGTGAAAGTTAGAAGGGACTTCAGGAACTGCCTAATGGGACTCTTCCACTGTGCAGCGCAGAGAACCGCAGCAGAGGTCCTGCGGGCGGTGCCAGGCCAGGCCTCAAACGGAGGCCTCGACTTTCAGCCTAGGGTTCTTTCTTCTACAATGCCATCTTCTTATTATTTACCAAGTAAAACTGTAATTCCTTCTGTTTCAAATAATGTAATTTGAAGTTAAATACTGATTCATGCCATTTATTTCTTATTCAAGTTTATATATTGTTCTTGTCTACATTGTGGCAGAAACTGAGAACTTTATATAATTTTAAGATATTCTAATTCAGTGTACTCGATTGGTTGGAAATAAACTCCCTCGATATATTTAAAAGCTTGCTCGTGTCCTTTAAATAGAAAGTAAAATGGAATGGCTAAATAGCCCTCAAAACCAATGTATTGAGTAGGCATCATCTACCCAGATAGATTCTACAGCAAGTGATGCTGCGCAGTAGTAATTCCATTAAAAAAAATATTTTTAGAATTCATAGAAATCTTTTTAATTACCAAAAACTAAAATGTAATAATCAAATTGTCATCCCCATGATTTATTAAAATAATTTTACAATAATATACAACAAAGCTACCATAGAATTTGTAACATACATATAGAATACAATGATCAGCATGTTCTTGGGTCTAAATGAAATACAAAAAAAACCTAATTAAAGTATTTTGTACAAACGATATTTTATAAGCTTATGAACATGATATATTTTTGTTACATCAAAACTTGCTACAGCAAAGTAGTTCATTTTTTTTTTGCACATTTTAAATATAGGTGGACCAAAAGCTGAAATCAGTACCAGCTTATAAATGATATAACCATGCAGAAACACTTGACATTCAAAAGATGTACAAATTGATCCAGAGAACATCGCAGACAGGCTTTTTCAATGTCTTCAAAGGTTATGCAAGGGTGTGGTAGAGAGGAAAAGAAGTAGAGTCAGTGCCCTACCTGCACCAATGAGGAAGCAAATAAGATGCTTATATACATTAAGATCAGTTGGATTAAAAACAATATCTTATATGCATGTAAATTGATCATAAAAAAATGAGCCAGTTTATTTTCAACTCTTTTGGTGTGTTCTTTTAAGATAGGTCACTGACTCACAGAAAGAAAACCAGATGGGAAAATTTTAAAGCAAAGATAAAAATATTTTAAAAACTGAGTTAAGCCATGGTTTCTCAACAAACACTAAACTAAATGTGCAAAAGTGCTTGAAATTTCCACATGACCACAACGTTGTTAAGTCAGTTGGCAAAAGAGTATGTAAAAAAACTAAACTCCAATGCTATACCTGCATGACCACTCATTCTGTTTGCTGAAAGGAAAGAGGCTGGAAACTATTACATATCTGAAAATATCACACCTGCCATTCTAATGCCATTGTGGCAGTTTTATAAATTTTGTCTCTCTCCTCACTGATGAGGCACAGGATGAAAGCCGAGGTTGCCGTGGTGCCTCTGCCTCAGGCTGACACCCACTGAGGCGCGCCGCCATGATGGCCTGGCAAGGGCTTCTTTGCTCCTAACTGTGATGAAACATAGCAAAGCAAACACAAAAGAAAACTCTCACTTACATAAGAGCATGTCTATACTGTTTACAATAATTAAGCCACTTGTTTGAGTTAGCCAAGTATTTGTCCACATTAACGTTCTTTTTAGTTTCTTTTCCTTTAAAAAGTTTACAATGAGGGCTTATTTGAGAAACTTAAAATTTTGTCACTTTCATTAGTCATGTTTTATTAAAATACTGGCTAAAGCCCTCACGGAACAGTCAAGATTTAGAAATCTTAGAACTCTAATACCTACAGAAATGCCGACGCCAAGTGAGAGAAACTAGCTGATCATAACCCATATCATTAGTTTTTTCTGTGAGTGAGACACATTTGTCACAATGCTCAAGCTGGTCACTTAATTACTCAAGGGGAGGATGCTATAAAAAGAAGTGGGGAGAATAGAACCTTTGATCTATAGGAATCTATATTGCTGTGTCTATCTACCCTATATTATTAGTCCATCCAAATTTATTGCCAGAACAATAAGTTTGAAGAAAGTTACTGTTTTAATTTGTATATATTTTCTTGATAATAAAACATTCTATCTTCAAAAATTGTCAAGAGTTCTGGCAAAACTGAGTCTGAACTACAAAGTAAAAATAATTATTAGAAAGTATATCTTCAAGTCATTGACCAACAGAAATATTGGCAAGGACTACTAAAAGGAACACTTATCATTCCCTTCAAATATCACATAGCCATAACACTGCCCATTTGAAACACCAACAAAAAAAAAAAAATGGAGCACTGTTTGGAGAAAAACTAAGGAAAAGGAAAAAGGGAACAAATGGATGTAGGAGGAGAGGAGAAAGGCAAACCAAAGAGAAGCAGGAAAGTGCCTAGTTCTGTGTTATGGCACAGACAATGCTTGCTTAGTGGTGCCTTGTTACACAGGTGGACGCAGAGTGCACACACAGATGATGGCAATCAAGACCTCAGTCGCTGGGATGAAGGAACTAGGTTAACTGCTTCAACAAGGACGGTCTCAGCTCCACCCTTCTCTCTCTAGAGTGCAAAGTACTGAGCGCGAGTTCTGATATCATCTCGTTGCTCATATTTAAAATTCACAAAATTCTTTTGCACATTTTTCTGTTATAGAGACACGGATATCTTCTTCTTCATAGTCATCAAAGTTGCTGGTATCTCCAGAACCTCTGAACTTTGGTATGAATGGAGCTTCAACCTATAATTGAGATAGAGAGAAAAATAAGAGTGAGATAGTCATTTATAATAAGAAGTACGCAGGGTCCAGCAGAAGTAACACCTGATTGAGTGTGATGGGTAGGGTAATAATATGGGTGTAATAATTTATAGTTTTAATTGGAATATTTCACCTAAAATGTCATTTGGTATGCTTGAGTGGGATATTGTGTTACAGAACTACATGCATATAATTTTGTAATAAAAGATTTTATAATGAAAAGGGTGTGTTATCTGTGCTGGCCTTCATCCTGATTTTGTGGCACAGCGTTCCTAAAACCCTCGGAATTTCCTAAGTGCAGGGAGTGGTAGGATGTCTTTCTTATGTTAATAAGGCAACTTTTGGAATGTCCATACCATAGGTAACCTAGGGTAGGGGCTGGTTGCCAGGGAAACCAGCCAAGTGATTAGAGGACTGGAACCTTAAGGCCCCAGGGAGGGGAGAGAGGCTGAAGATTGAGTTCAGTCACCAAAAGGCCAATGCTTCAATCAATCATGCCTGCGCAATGAAGCCTCCCTAAACAAAAGGATTGTGTTGGAGAGCTTCCAGGTTGTTGAACAGGTCAGGGTACGGGGAGAGCATCTTGCTATGGGAGAGCAGGAAGCCCTGCACCCTTCCCAGGTACCTTGCTCTATGTATCTTTTCCACCTGGCTGTTCCTAGTTATATCCTTTTAGCATAAACTGGTAATGTAGTAAAGTTTCTCAGTTTTGTGAGCCGCTCTAGCAAATTAATTGAACCCCAAGAAGGGTTTGTGAGAACCTGCAACCTATAGCTGGTTAGTCAGAAGCAATGGTGACGAACTGGACTTGAGATTGGTGTCTGAAGTGATGTGGGGAGGGGGGGTTTTGCAGTGCTGAGCTCCTGTCCTTTGGGATCTGATGCTATCTCCAGGCTGACTGCGTAAGAATTGAGTTAATTGCTTGGTGGTGCAGAAAAAAAACCACACATACTGGAATAAGAGGAAAAACAAATGCCTGAGAGTTTTTAAACACTAAGGAAAATAAATTCCCACTTCATACACGATGGCATCTTTAAATGCCTGTAAGTGGTAACAGCATTAGAAAAAGAAGTGAACAATTTGCTATTTTTTTTTGTTTTTTTAAAGATTTTATTTATTTGTTTATTTATTTATTTATTTTTAGAGAGGGAAAGGGAGGGAGAAAGTGAGAGAGAAACATCCATGTGTGGTTACCTCTCGAGCGCACCTAACCAGGGACCTGGCCCCCAACCCAGGCCTGTGCCCTGACTGGGAATTGAACCTGCGACCCTTCGGTTTGCAGGCCGGTGCTCAATCCACTGAGTAAATTTGCTATTAATCTCAATATTTTCATTCAATGACTAGTACAGGCCAACGAAATACTTTCAAAGATTTATAAGATAATTAACTGTTGGCATCAAATACTGGCACTGCATGTTATAGCACTCCAGTTTTTCTTTTATCAGTTCTTTATTTCTAAAGCCTTTATTTTCCCATCCTTTCCCTTAATTTCTTTCTCCTGTGGTTACAGATTAGCTCTTAAACTTACTTTTAATCTCCTTCCTTTTTAAGCTCCCAAGTTTATTTTGTTTAAAATATCTGGCTATCAAAACTTTCTGGAAGTTGGAAAAACCAAATTTCTGTTAAAATTACAGAATTGTTAAATTCTGATCATTTTTCTCCTTGAATTACTTAAAATATGGTCTTTATAAAATGTATGTGGTATATTGAATATGTTCAAGGAAATAATTTTAAATGTTGAAAATATAATACAACTTACACAGCATTCATAGTGTTTACAAATAATCCTACGTATGGCTATATTATTTCTTCCTCAATACAATACTGTGAGAGGGGCAGGGACAGGTATCCTTACTGCCATTTTACAGATTATAAAACAGAAGGCTGACCAAATTAACATGACTAATAAATGGCTAAAGTAGGTCTCAAATTCATGATTCTCTAGTACTGGCCCAGAGTCCTTTCTAATATCTACACAGGTGGCCTCTAAAGTATTTTGATTTATGTGACTTTTAATAAAACAAAGAGTATATGGTATATGCTACCAATATATGTATAAATATTTATTCATAAGTTATTTATATGCATGACTGTAATATTGTATGACATAAAACAAGATATTTAAAAAGAGTAAGGTAAAAAATAAGTAGGACCAGAGCGCCGGATAGTATCAGCCTGTCCGCTGGCTGACTTGAAGGCCCCGCTCTGGGGAAGGGGCTGCTGTTTGCACAATGCAGAAGAATGAACCGAGGAGGAAGCCACCCCACATCTAGTCCAGAAGCAATTTAGGGTCGCACTGACTGGTACAATCATTTCTAGAGAATGACTGTACAGTGTGAGTTTTCGGGCTGCTTTCTTGTTTCTGGTCTTTCTGCTAGATGCCTTTAGCTATTTCATTGTTAATGAATACTTGGTCAGAGAATAAAAAAGATTATAAGACTATTCAAACGTACTATTATTTTTGCACTGCTGTGCATAGTTGTAACTGAGAAAATATTAAAGCAAATGGCTACGTTAGAGTACTGAATCATTTCTGTTTGTAAATTATCCCAGGATCCCCAGGTCCATTTCTATTGATAATCAAGATTTGCTGTTGATCCATTTGCCCAGTACTATAACCTGTTTGTCACAGTGTGCTACTTTTTGGCAGGTAAGCTCTTTACTACCTGGGATAAGTTAAGCCCTTTGGAAAACATATGAACTCTAAATGAACAGTTCTATACCATTTTAAGAATAATTGTTAAAAATACAATAATGATGTGAATATATTAGTAAATGTTTGCCAAATAACAGCAGAAATTTTTACATCTAAATGTAAGTATGAAAAGATTCAAAATATGTCATAAATCTTTAAAATAATAAAATGGACAAACCTTAAGCAAATCTAATGAGTACATCTATATTGAGCATAAACAATAAATATAACAATAAAGATAATTTAAACAGTGATAATTACAAAGGGATGTTTAATTTTATAGAATGGTATACATTTCTAAAATTGACTCAAGAAGAGGCAGAAACTCAGAGAGACCAATATCCAAAGAATTAGTTTGTTAAAAGTCCCAAGGAATAAATACAAGATAATTCCTATGTTCCTTAAATTTCCTAAAGAATAAAAAAAACATGGAAAATTTCCAAACTCATTTTATGAATCCATATAATCTCAACTCTAGAAAAACAAAATCTACAAGTCCATAAAACTGATGATTATGGAAGTAAAAATCCTAAATACAATTTTAGTAAATTGATTATAGGCAGATATTAAAATAATAATACCCCATGATTAAAGGGTGTTCACTTCAGGAACGTGAGGCTATCCCACCAATGTACTTCACCATAGTACCCGGAAGCAATCAAGGATATTTCCTTAACTCATTCAGGAATACTTATAAAAGACAAAGAGCTAACTTTGTGTTGGTAGTAAAACAGGAAAGGTATTCACATTTCAAAGAAGAACAAGACAAGAAGCTCAACAGCACTATTGTTTTAAAATATTATTCTATACATTCTAGCAGGTATAATAAAATAAAATGGAAATACAAATATAAATATTGAAAAAGAAGAGGCAGATGATACCTCCAACCCATGTGATTATCTGTCAATAAAGTTGAAGAGAATCATTGAAAAAGCTACGGAAATCAATAACAGAATTCAGTAAGGGGGACAATAACAATAAAAACATAGAAATCATATGTTTACCCCCTGTATTCTACTATACTGGGAAAGAAACAACATTCAGGATAGCAGCCAATATAAATTTAAGGAATAACTTTAAGAAAGGCATTGGATTTGTATGGGGGAGGGGTCTCTCAAACTTTACTGAATGGGAGGAAATACTTGAATAAAGACAGAAACACAACATGTTCAGTGTAAAGAATTCTCAAGATTTTGGTTTTCTTCTAATTAATATACTGTGATCCCAATTAAGAGTCCTAAATACCATATCAATATTTGGAAAGAGCAACAAAACAGGGGAGTCACTGAGTAACGGGTACAGTGTCAGGTTCACGAGGTGAAGAGCTCTGGGGATGGACAGCGGCGATGGCCGCGCAGCAACACGCGGGCACTTCCCACCACTGCGCGGCACCCTCACAGCGCGGGAGGGGGGTAAACGTCACGCTGTGTACATTTTACTATAGTAAAAGGGCTGGAAAAATATGGAATTATGAATTCTTTTCCATGGCCCGGAGGTGGGGGACCCGTGGTGTATAGCACAAGAACAGACAAAAAAGAACTCACGAGAAAGGTCTGAAACAGACTGAATAATTTCCTATTAGTAAACGCGGGAGTTCAAATATGGGGCTAAATAAGGATTATTCAACAAGTGCTGAGAGGATAACCGGCTGAGAGGAAGTATTAAACAATGACAACAAGTTAGATCAAAAGCAGTAAAGGAAAGTATAGATTAACTAAGTCTCCCAAATAGAATCGTGATAGTGATGATCCGAAGTTGAGGGGAAAGTGCAGCGCTGGAGGAAGCGGACCCGAGGTGGCTGCTGAAGTCACGGGAAGGGACTGCAGTGACGCAGAGCACGGAGGGGCTGTCCGGGTGGAGCGATCAGGATGGTTTCAAATTCATTTACGGAACCAATTACCCAATTATCACTCTATAAGCCCAGAAGGAAAACTTACCTCGCCCAGAAAGGAACTCATCCATCTGCTCTTTCTCCCCAGACCACTTTCCCTTTTGCATTCCCTACCTTAATCCAAGTTAAGGATGAGAAAACGGATGCTTTAGAGAGGGTCAACCTTTGCTCCAGATCCCGTCGCTAATGGCTGGTTGATTTAAGTTTCAGACCAATGTCTACCTAAACCCCAGAGCTCACGCTTTTTCTTTGCTGCCTTTGAGGAATCTCCCTACTCCAAAAACGATGAAAGCATAGATATGAAGCAGATGATATGTAAAATCTATAAAAACCTTATGAAACAATGTATTGTTCAGTGGTCTGGGATTCATTCTAATAACCATGTGATCCTGCAATTAGAAATCTGAAGAACCTGGGATCAAATATAGGTGATATTTGGCAGCTTTATGATTATGTTTAAAGCAGTTAACCTTTTGGGGCTGATTTTCTTATTAGTAAAATGGGGGAAATGGTAGCACCTATTTGAGGATTACCTCAAAGATTAAAATGAGAAGTTACAGAGAGTTGCTTTTAATAAATTATAAAATACTTCACTAATTCTCAGAAATAAACTAATATAATATTGTATGCCAACTATACTTTGGAATAAAAAATAAAATAGGAAAACATGAAATGTTTATTTATGAGACCTAAAATGTACTTTCAATTGCAGAGGACTTTGCTCTTGGCTACGTAACCTATCCAGCTGAGACAATGATGCTAACGACTGTTTCATGAATTTAATGGTTAGAAACTTTCTGAACCTCTCTAACGGAGGTACAGAGGCTGTGCCGCACTCACATTGTTTTGGTCTTGCTATATTTTTTATTTCTTGCATTTTAGAACTCTTGTAATGCTTTGATTTTATAATCTTTCATAGAAGATATAAATACGAAAAACTGTGCTATTAATACTTAATTAGAGCATTTCTTCCTAAGGAAATTCACTCATGTGACTGCACAGCATTATTAAATATGGCAAGTCTGAAACATTAGAAGTTTTAGTTTTATGGAAAAAAGGAAATAAAAAATTAAATTGAAGACAAAAACACTTTATTCATATAAATTATCTTTAACTTGGCATTTAAGAAGCAAAAGGAGAGATAAAGGTAATTCAGCAAAGCAAAACCTTTTATTAAATGTCTCAATTTATTACAAAGGTACTGATAAAGACTGAAAAAAAACTGATGAATCTAACAATTAAATGTTATTAAACCTGGCTATGTGCCAGTTCTGGGTTAGAGACTATATTTCTTTACATATGGTCTTTCTACGGTGGCTTCACATCAGTTTGGAAACGCAAACCCTTAGGTTATTATCTAATACAGAACATATGCTCTCTCTTTAATCAAGGAGAAAACTCATTGTTAAGTTGTGGGATATAAAGGTCCTTTAATACTTGAATAGGATTCATTCAAAAGGTAAAAACTTAAAACTGCTAAGTTGAAAATATTTCTATTATATATAATTTAAACACCCACTTCAAAAGAGCTTTTAAATTAAAAAGGGAAAAGGCTCACCTTCCTCTGGTAAATAGCAATCCAGTCTGTTGTGGCAAACCACTTGTGAGTTTTTATATCACTCACACCATTCTTTAGATTTCCAAACCGTTTTGTCAAATCCACCTGCAGCAGATTCCTCAGAAGGTCCTTGAGATCTGAACTGAAGTGCGACGGGAATCGAACCTGCAGAAACACACCATGTGATAAAACACACATTCCAAGGCTCGCGGTATTTCTCCTTTGATTTCAGAAAGGTTTATTTTTTCGAAAGATGATAGGTCATTATATAAACAAAAATACGTAGTGATAACCTTCAAATACTTTTAACTACACATTTCAGTCCCCATATCAGTTTTTAAAGAAGAGAATTACTTGGGTGAATGAAACTATTCTCTCAGGGTCTTGTTTTGGTCACAAGCCCTCTTTAAGAACAGAGACCCCTCTCCAGAAAAATGTGCATAACATACAAAACTTTTCCGTCAATGTCAGAAGGTTCACCTGTCTTTAAGAGAGACCCTTTGGATCCCACTTTACAAACTTCTGTTTTAGAGACATACACATTTAAACTTGTAATCTAAATGGAAAAAGCAGAATGTAAAGATATCTGTCTGCACATTTTGAAAAGGGAAATCTAAAAGTGATTATAAAAACCCATTATGCCTTTCACAGCATAGGAAACCATTTTTCATGTATTTTTTGGTGACTTTCAAGCATAATTTTGCTATTATGCAACAGTATAAAAATAATTTAGATTGGTTTAAAAGCATTTTCTAGTTCCTAAATTATGAAGACTTTGTACAATTAGTTGACTGGCCTCGAGCTTTAAAAACAAACAAACAAAAAAACCCCCAAATAACTGAAGATGTCATTATGTATTAGGCAATCAATAAAATAAAGTATTAAGCATAGGAGACCTAGGTCTATTTTTGTTTTAACACATTCTTCTCCTTTAACTCTCTACTCCAACATAATTCCCAGTTCTCACCTTTTTATTAATATGGACACTGAAACATTAAAATGGGCACTACTACTATTCCACTATCCTTTTCAACTTGTTGCCCTCTTCCCCATAACACATGTAGGTATATATGTGCATACATCTATGTATGTACACATGTGCTCACATGCACCTTTATTCTAATCTCCTTTTCTTATTATGTATACATTGGACCAATTTCAATTCCCACCTCCACTAAACACAAACACTATTCTCTGGAATATCATAGCATTGACTTCAAACTGACCACAGACCTCTGTATAAATGCTTTAAAGGATTAACAGTCCCCTTTTCTGAACTCTGCATTTTTTCTGAGGTTCTCTACAAGTACCACTATCATCTTATAACTTGCAAAGTGACTCATCACATTATTTCAGCTGTTTCCACAATGCATTCATTCACTCAACTATGCTGTAATATTTGTCCATGTCTGTCTTCCCTGGACTGTGAGCTTCTGGAGGGAAGGAACTGTGCCATTTTTGTATTTTCATCCTCAGAATTTATTAGATCATTTCAAATAATGTAGTTCATCAATTTTACAATTACTTAATTGAGTATCTACTATGTACCAGGCACTGTTCTAGCTGCTGGATATAAAACAGTGAGCAAAAACAATGCTTCTGATTTCATGGAGCTTATACCCTAGTTATATATGACATACTCAGTGGATTTGGTATTAACTCTAAAGATGGAGAAACTAAGATTCAGAGACATTATATAACTTCCCAAATCATTAGACTATAAAGTGGCAGAGCTGGGATTAGACATCTAGTCTTACGATTCCTAGCTTCATAAATTTTGCCCTTACTACACTGTCTTCAAACATAGAGAGCTCTGGCTTTCAAAAAGCTCAACATACTTGGATATTCTCATGTTCTCACAGTAGAAGTCAAGAGCTTGCAAAGCTGGATTCTATGGCAATGCTAGATTCATAACCACATCCTCTGACTGCCACTTTCATGCTACTCAATAAATAAATATTTCTCAAAGGGTGGCCCTGGGACCCACTTCCATTAAAATCAACTGGGAGAGGAGAGGATAAAAATGCAGATTCCTGGGGCTTACTTCAGGTGATGGGGCTTTGGGCCTGGATATCTGAGCTCCTGTCACCAAGCGATTCATATGCACATACATGGAAGCTTGAGGAGCACTATTTGCAACTCTATTTGCTTCTTTAGGCAGAAATTTCATTAGTCTGCTCATGACAGATACAAAATTTAATGTAAGTAATCAACTAAAATCATCATACTGGAGGAAAACTAAAGAAAATTTATGACAAATCACCAAAGACTATTTGAAGGTTAAATAGCTAGTATATGACCAGGATTTGGGTGCCAACTCATATAAATTAGCAACTAAAAGCTTCAATTTTGAAAAGCCTGTAGTATTACCAACTATCAGAGGTTTTATGCTGCCAAAGGACACAATGGCTTATTATAAGTTAGGCACAGTGTTAAACAGTTTATATGCACTGGCTCATAAAATCCAAAATATAACACTAAGGTAAGTGCTATTGTTACTCCCATTTGGGTGGGGCAGGGGAAAGTGGTGGCAGCAAAATGGAGACAAATGTATTTGAACAATAAAAAAAGGTGCTTATAAGTAATTTGCTCAATACTACTGAACTAATAACTGGTAAAGCTATAATTTCAAACCAGGTACTCTGATTCCAGCATATATACTTTTAATTAGTCTATACTATTTCCATGATTCAATAACCTGATTCAATTGTCAGGAACTTTATAAAAGGCTGGAATTTTCATCTTAAGAATATTTGCTATACATTTCTTCATTGATCTTATTTGGAATGAAAACTAGAGCCTATGGGGTATTCATTAGGCACACTGTCTACTTGAAAAATAACACAATTTGTCTGTAGACAGTGGTTATATTCTTTGTTAAATTCCAAAGAAGTAAGTTATTTGAACAGTTCTCATGTTTAGAATAGTTCTCATGAACTGCTCAATGCAATGTATCAGTTATTCTCTCTTTCATTGTGTTCAGAATGCTGGACAGTAATGAACTACACATAATCTGTCTTCTGAATTCAGGTAGTGTGCACTGCAAACCATTAAGAATATACACACCTAAATAAAGTAGTTCTTTTGGAATGCAGATAAAGTGATGATCATGAATCAGTTAATGTGTGTGTATCTGTTTAATCTTCAGAACAGTGACTCTCAAACAGGAAGTGGTGGTCAGGGGTAGTAAACGTAGATATCAAAATCATTTAGGAACCTTTTCAAATTGTAGACACATCCTCCTCAACTCCACATCACACCCTCTTCTTCCCCAGTGATTCTGATAGGTGGCCCACACTTTCATAGTAACCCATGTTAATGAAGGGAATCTGTCATAGCCTTAAAGTAGACTAAGGGAGAAATAATGAGAATCATTGTGAAAGAATTTTTCCCATGATTGTTCTGAAATGTAATCAGAAACCCAGTTTCTTTGTTGACTGAACTTTCTGTAGAGCCATGCTGATTCATCAAACTGAAATTAGGGGAAAAAATCCCCAAACAAAAGCAAAAGAAAACAAAAACAGGAAATAACTTAGAATTATGTTTTAATTGCAAGACCTTTATTTTTAGTACAGGATAGGGCAAAAGTAGGTTTACAGTTTGTATAGGAAATATAATAATAAATAATAATATAAGGATAAACTGTTTTGTGTATTCACAACTTAAACCTAAATTTGCCACACCCTGTATATTAATCTGGAAACTCCAAAGATATTTGTAATGGAAAGAATGACTAATTTTTCCTTCAAAACTGTATCAAGAATGGTATTTCTATCATCATTATCAATTATAACTGCTGTAGAAAGCAAACTCAGAATCCTGGAATATCAGAGCTAGAGGGAGCTTAGTTAATTTAGTCTAAACCTTCATTTTAAAGATAAGGAACCTGAAATCCAGTGAAGCTACCAACTCAGTCAGTTTTGTTGTGGGGAAAATAACTTAATCCTGATGCTTACATCTTTCTGCCAGCTCATGCTAGGGCAAATAATGTGGAGGTAGCTGTAAAGAGCCAGATATGGAGAAGAGACAGTGTAGACCCATTAAACAAATTTAAGAGCTAAGGTTATTGGAATCTGGAATTATTTAACATGAAAGAGGTGTTTATGCAATACACATTTCCTAGAGTGTTTATTTGGTCTTTTTTCCTTAATATGTCCTATTTAGGGTTTTCCCCCAGCATTTAGAGACCAAGTTACTTCTGGGTCTCCTCATGGTATATTCTTGAGAATAAATCTATTTCTACAGTGAAGTATAGACAAACAAAACACATGGTATGTATCAAAATTGTTTGTGATCATTTAAAAAATACAAATATTTGGAATACACAGAAAACCAAGCGAATCAGTATCCCCGACAGTGGGCATCTGCTTCACGAAAGCTTCTTGAAGGCAGAGAGACCACATTGATTTGTTGTATTTGGCAGTGGTCTACCATACATTATGAGCTTGAGAAATATTTAATGAATGCATATATTCAAATTTGACAAATTCTGAATAAGCATCTTCAGTGTGCAAGGCACTGATGTGTTTTACATACAGTGGTAAACAAAATAGGACAAAGATTCCTGTCTTTGCAGAGTATACATGCTAGTGAGGAAGACGGATGGTAACTCAGTGATAAGAACAATACTTTAAAAATGTTGCCATCCTATTACCCCTTAGAAAACCTTGCATTGTAAGGTCTTTATTTTTTACTCTGAAGAAAATGGAGGATCACCGCAGGTTCTGAAAGAACAGGATCTGATTTAACATTTTTTTAAAAGATTTTATTCATTTATTTTTAGACAGAGGGCAAGGGAGGGAGAAAAAGAGGGAGAGACACATCAATATGTGGTTATCTCTTGCACACCCCTTACTGGGGACCTGGCTTGCAACCCAGGCATGTGTCCTGACTGGGAATTGGACCAGCGACCTTTTGGTTCACAGGCTGGAGCTTAGCCCACTGAGCCACACCAGCCAGGGCTAACTTAACATTATAAAGACCTACTCTAGTGACTCAGAAGACAGTGGTATCAATTGAGGTCTAATACGTGGTTGAATTTCTGCGCTATTCTAAAGATAGAGCCAAAATGGTTTTCCTGTGCATCAGTGAGGACTCCAGGGTGTTTGGCCTGATTAACGGAAGGGATGGTGTCGTCATCAACTGAGGCAGGAAAGCTGGTGGGA